ATCTACAAGCAGGCCTATATCTAGGCGTCAATTGATTTTTAACTTTATTCAAACTCATCCAAGACTTTGAAAAGCTTCCTGTTTCAACTTAAGGAGAGGTGAGCTATTACGCGAGAACTAACGACCTTCCCAGCAAACAATAATACGTTATGCTAACGTGACAATAACGTTACAGTTTTGTTTTGAAAACTTTATTTTGTAGAACCATAAATACATACTGAACAAAATTTCACAACGTTTGCACGTTCCTACAACGTTGTGTAAACGTTATTTTGTGACATACCTAACCACAACATTCGCCAAGAACGTTATAAGAACATAAACACGTGTTTTCCGGGTTTCTAAAGAAAATAACACGTGGCTTGACAACAGGATTCCATTTTCTGATAAGTTATTAATGTTTTGACACAGAACAGAGATATTCTTTCCACACCAGCAGAACACCCACAAGAGACTTAAAACAGACCCAAACCGGGACGTCCTATCGAAGTATGGGGGGGGGGATCTTTTCAGAGAGTTCGCACAAGGGTAACGTACAAGAGATGTTGACATAAAATGTACGCACTGAACTTCTTTATGCAGCATTGCAAGGGGCATTCAAGAAGAATCGATTGTAGAGTCTACTAATATGTAGAAAATACATACACATTTTATTTCTCCCTGACGAATTGTAGTTTATCTCCCCAACGCCGGGGTGGGGGAGGGGGAAGCTTTCCTCGACGGGGACCTTCTGTGGAAAAAAGTTTTCCACAGAAGTTCTTTTGTCCCAAACCTCCTTAAAACATTTCAAAATTAATTTGTAATTTCACTGTTCCCTGGTATTACAATGAAAACTGACATCGTCCAATCAGAAAACAGTACAAAAATTACGTCACATAGATTTGAAAATGCTTTTATTGAATTCTACGGGTATGAAAACCTCTAGATAAGTCTTGTATTCGCTCAGATTAGCTTCTGTAATGAGTACTTTATGTTGGCACGCTTTGACTTCAATCTGGCCCACTGTGCGCCGTCTGCTGACTGTAAAAACCATCGCAGTGCGGACAAAATCATCATAAACAATTTATCCGCGCTGCGCTCATCGTGTTGCGCTCTTTATGGAATCGAACTGGCCGACGATCGTCACCAGTTTGTAGGCCTACCCAGATTTTTTTTTTTTTTTTTTTTTTTTTTTTTTTGTGGTAATTTTGTCGAACAAAGAATTAACTCACACTAATACTGTAAGCAACACCGATGAGTCCGAAGGGAAAACAACAGCAGAGCGTCACAAGAATAGCCATCACTAAATAGTTTTCTGGTCTTGTTCTCTCCACAACCATACTTGTAAAAGGCTGTACATTATAGGAGCTGTGGCCGGCGGGTTGATTGTAGACTGGAGGAGCCTGATAAATCGCAATGTGATAGATATATTATCATTACCACACCTTCATCATTATCATCATCACCATTACCTTCATCATCATCATCATCATTCATCATCATCATCATCATCATCATCATCATCATCATCATCATCATCATCATCATCATCATCATTATCTACCAATGCCATTATAATTACAATTATCATTATTTTGATTATCATTCTTGTTTGGAGGGACTTTCACAGATAAAAGCCTCTATATACTGCACCACCTCACCTGTCATGGTTGGGGCAGCAGGTAATAATGATTATGGCACCTCTAGATAGCCGGGAATTGCACTCCCAGAATTAAAATTTGAATATAAAATTAATTTTTCTCCATGTTTTAAACATTGTGAAAATTTTAATGGTATAACACTTGTGATACCAAAGACTGGGCCACTTGAATCCGCCAGTGAATAATAACAACATTTAAATAGCAACGCAATAGCGTACCTGTGCCTGTGGGTTCGCTTGTGAATCATCTGAAACATAATAATAATAATGATAATAATAATAATAATAATAATAATAATAATAATAACGACAACAACAACAACAACAATAATAATAATAATAATAATAATAATAATAATAATAATAATAATAATAATAATAATAATAATAATAATAATAATAATAATAATAATAATAATAATAATAATAATAATATGTTATTATTAATACTATTATTGTCGGGAGATCGGCCCTCTGGAAAATCGTCTTAAAAATAAACAACCGATAATTTTTTTTATTTTTTTTTATCAATTCCGAAAACAACTTTACAATATGTGCCTCAAAAACATTTTTTTTTAAATTTTGAAATCCATCAACCTGAAATTTATCTTGAAAATAATCGAACTATAGGTACTTACTAGTTACCGTTTGCATTGTAATTGGCAAAGAGTGACTCTACACGAGAGACTGGTATGACTCTACACGAGAGACTGGTATTACTGGCGCCTTTGCAAAACATTCGTTTTTTAAACTTATTTTATAGGCTTTAGTAAATCCATGTGCATGCAAAACATTTCCAAAGCCCTGAGGATCAATCATGATGACAGTATGTAAAATTTTATTAAATACTTTAAGTTATATCCGGGACTGAGGTTTTCAAATTGTTTGATTTGATACTGTCACTCCAGATAAGCTTACGTTCAAATCCACATCAAGTAAACAAGCCAATGCTGCTGATGATGATCATCATGCCCTTCTCAAATAGCAGACCGTTTCAATACAGCAACATCAGTGTGACCTTAGTAATCTCTATAAGATTTACAAAAATCAGTAATGCGTCTTCAGACTCATCCTCATCTTATCCCTGTTTAAAGAACCTATATTTGTATTTTTCTGACAACACCGCTGCACCTGGAGCCCCATAGGAAGCCTCTTATAGATCACAGTCATATTACACTCGCTTCGATCGCGTTCCTCATGTCATTTAGGCTATACATGAGCAAATTGAAATTTTGTCATAGTCGTCATCATCATCATCATCATCATCATTATTATTCTTATTAGGCCTATTACTATATTTTTGTTACATTTTATTAATCGTTATCATCAACACCATGAACAACATCACCGTCATCTCCATCATCATCATCATCATCAGCATCATCATCATTATCATCATCATCATTATGATGATCTTCATCATTCACCATCCCAACCTATTTGTTACTGTATTTGTTTTTATCAAAATTGTTGAGCATGGATTTAGTATAGCCTAATGTAAAATAACACACGATCCTGGATTACCGGATGCTTATATTATACAGTTTGTTTAATTCACTGGTTCCTTCTGCTGTGCTTAGTCTCTTCGGTTGTTTCCATTTGTTAGTTTTCTGGTTTTAGGGTATTTCTCGGTGTTTTTTGTTGTTTTTTTTTCAAGAATTTGCGTTTCAAGCGCATACAGACTGTTCGTAATAATGCGCTTTACAAGTACATAGTCATGATACCATTTCGAGATAGAACTTACATTCAGACAGACGTTATCTTTGTAACGTCTCAGTATCAATATTACTTTTTTTTAATCTCATAGTTAAAAAAATTTACCAATTTCGAATTCCATATTTGTTGTAAAATGTCATGGAGCAATTCCAAAAATTACAACATTTTGAAAAGAAGCTCCGCCCCCTCTTTAGTTTGCAAACGTAAGCTATAAAAGAAGCCTATCTCGAAAAGAGGTTCAGAAGGGTCCCAATAACGAACGGAAGCCCGTGGGTTTCTATTCGATGTTTTATAGTCAAGATCAATAAGGATTCACAAAAAAAAAACAAAAAAAAAAAAAAACAATCAGTAATACTTAGCAGAGTGAATAATGTCGTTCATTGCTTATTTTACTTCTGCTTAATGCGTTCTTCATTATTTTAACTAGATGAGTGATATCATTTTTTATATTAGTTGTTAGGGCAAATTATCCTAATTCATTACTTTGTTATAGTTTATACCATGTTCCTATACATTCAAATATTTTTTTTAAATCGGTATACTGCAGCATAATATTACAATATATATTTATATTTTAAATATGAAATATTGTCTTCAACAATATTTATCATTTGGGAAAAACACTTAATAATATTAAATTAATGGGTTGATCCCCATCACATTACAACGGTACAGCCTCATGCAGTGGCGGATCTAGGGGTGGGTGTGATAGAGTGGCTAGCCACGCCTCTTCGTTTACCTTGAAAAAAATAGTCACTCATTTTGTGTGTGTGCTTCTCGTGTATGTTACGTGTAGTAGGTTACTCTGATAAAACATACACTTTCTATTTTAAGCTTAACTTCTATCAGATGTCATTACAGAGCGTCTAGCCGTCTACTAATTCCAAAAATATTTCAAATGGGAGGGGACGCCCCTCCCAATACCATTGGCGCAGATAGCGGGGGGGGGGAACATAGGGACACGTCCCCACATATTTTCAAGGAAGGGAGGGTCGGTTGGTTCCCCTCACTTTTTGTCCTCAATGTAATTTTATAAGTCAAGAGGATGCCTGAAAATTGTTGAAATGAACTGCATAAGTGACCAGCAGGTTTTAACGTAAGAGCGATGTACAACCGGTATTTCCGCCCACAAACATATACTTATGTGCGCATGCCTTTATTATAATTTGAGAACATGAGAAAAAGCGTGTAATAATAAATTGTGTTTCGGCACATGAATAAGTAGAGTAAATAAACCTAATGATTATGAATATGAGAGTGTCATTTCCAGCAATCTAAAGGTACTATCCCCAAATTTTCCAATCTCAGCCCCAACTATGGTGGGGCTGAGATGATGGAGCCTTAAAATGGTAGGGCTGAGATGGGTGCTGACTCACGGCTTTGAAGTAGGTTAAAGTAAATACATCAAAGACACTGTTTTTATTTTCTATAGTACATCACACATATTAATTGGATCTCTATGTTTGCCGAAAATCGCTGATAAAAGATCATGAGAAATTTGTTGGCGCTTCATTTTTAACAAGGCCTATATTATAATGGTGATGTGATGATGATGAATTTTACTACCGTATATAAAAGTGTCGTTTCCGGGCATAATGATGTCATTATTGCTGTACTGTTGATTTTCACACTACACCAATGACCTGCACCTGTTGTCATCTAGATTATGTAAATATAATTAAAATTTTTATGATGAATAAAAATACAATTACAGCTACTTCCATCTACAAATATAATCGTAAATTTACAAATACAATTACAACTATAATTTATTTTTTTAATACACCAAACCCCAACTGGAGAAACGTGAGCAATTTCAATAGATTTTGGTGCTTGTTAGCGGTCATCTGGTAGTCGGATTTGCCAAGACTGTAATTCAAACATGGAATATAATTATCAAAATTACCAAAAACATTTCAAAACTGTAGTGCACAAAGCATTTTTTGCACACAAAATAAACAAAAGTACAATTTCACTCACAAGTACAAGAATAGGGCAAAGATCATAAATTCGCTCGATCGAACTGGTATCTGCTCGAACTGGCATTCGCTCGAATTGACTGGCATTCGTAAATGTCACCCTCACCTTCCAGCAGATCTGTGCCCTTGCCAAAACAGCTCCTCCGCCACCCCACCCTCTAGGTTGGTGCTTCACACCTCGCATTATCCACCCCTATTGCTAAATCCTACTATCCGCCACTGAGCCTGTATACGTATTATTTAAAATAATTCTAAAATATGAAATTTATCATAAACTTGACGGACACCAGCAGTTGATACCGTTAACAGAGTGTTATTAAAACCATAAATAAGACCACTGACTAACTATTATTTCATATAGAGTTTGAAACTCGAGCATGCGTTCTAGTCAGGCTCCGGAGGAAAAACAATTTTTGATATGTTGTAGAACTGATTTTTCCAAGACAGAAAAAGGTGTAACCTCATTTTTACACCTTTTCCCCCCAGTTTTTAAATATTCAAAAATCTGTAGCTCGTTCACCGTTCCCCAGTTTTTCGTCAAACAACTTTTTTCTGTCTTGGAAAAATCAGTTCTACAACATATCAAAAAATTGTTTTCCTCCGGAGTCTGACTTTAACACAGTGCGCGGGTGTCCAATATAGTGTGCGGTAGTACTACAGAAGATCCGTTTCAAGGAAACCTCGACTGTCGGACCTCTTGCAATTTTGTGCTCTTTGTTCTATGACTTAAAGACATCGTCAGTTCCTTACAATATGTACATTTGACTATAATTGTCATCGACTAATCTACTTTGCTTGTTTAACAGTAAATTTTTAGAAAAATTCATTACAATTTTGATTTATTTCTTTATATTGTAACATATCGGGACGTATAAACCTCCATGATATTATAGACTGCCGCACGATGTTCTAATCTTTATGAATCAGATTATGCGTTGATATTTAGTACTATCACCAATATGTTGAGGCCAATGATTACCATACCAATCAACAAGCCAGCGATTGACCATATTTTCGCTTTACTAGCAGAGGACAGGGCTCCAGTAAAATCTCCACGGTCAAACCTACTTGAACTCTACAATAAACAAAGATCATAGAGTGTTAATAATAATCGTAATCGAACCAAAATGTTATTTGCTAGTTGTGAAGTTAATCAGTAAAAATATTCGAGCATTGAAGTGTACCTTCGTTCAAGTATAACTGAGTTTGAGTTTTTTTTTTAAATGAGAAGAAAGTACAATGATTATAGAAGTGGAGGAGGTCCTTGATACCAAATTGCATCAACAATCATTAACAGTGGCAACCGTAAATTATCAAGGATTTTGAAACTTTGACTAATTATTAAGGTCAAGTAGAGCCTGCCGAATTCGCCACAGTGTGCAGCTCAACTTTCTTTATTGAATAAAATTATATTAAATGATATGGTCAAAATAATGTACATAAAAATATAAATTATGAGAAAAAACACAATAATAAAAATTATGCTACGACAAGAAATTAAAAAAAAAAACAACAAATAAAGCCCGATAGAAATAATATTTTTATGTCTCATTTTGATATTAGGGAGATTTCGCAACCTTACGAAAACGAATACCTCAATATCATTATCGTTATTCGTGCCTAAAACATTCTTCACAATAATGGTGTACAAGCTAAAAATGATCCTTAATTCGACATGAACCACCTACTTCGTGACACATACGCTACTGTATGGGAAGGGATGTCTAACAAATTCATGACGTAACCGTATTCGTAATCGTTTTCGTAAGCTTACAAAAACTCTGAGACAATACGAAAAAAAAAGATGCCATGGCTTGTGTAACAAGTGTACAGTGTTTGTGGAATAATGTGTGTTAACTTACATCAACACTGTAGATAATTCCGATGAGTCCAAATGGCAACATGCAACAGCAACAGAACGTCACAAAGATACCGATTCCGAGGAAACTGTAATGGTTCGTTCTAACTACAGTCACATCTGTTGTAACAACAGTGTGCATATTGTAGGAGGCGTGGTCTTTATTTGAAGCAACAAGTTGTACCTAATACAAACAAATGTGTAACATTTTTGTTATTCGTAAGCTTGTTTTTCATTTATTTATTCATTCATTAATCATCCATCTGCCTCCATCCATCCACCTAAATCCGCCCATAAGTCAATCCATCCATTGCATTCGTTCGTTCGTTCGTTCTTTCGTTCGTCCATTTTTTAGCTCTGCCAATAGGTTATGTCCATCCATCCACCTAAACCCGCCCATAAGTCAATCCATCCATCCCATTCGTTCGTTCTTTCGTTCGTCCATTTTTTAGCTCTGCCAATAGGTTATGTACGATATTCATCGCTGTTATTTGTCTGACACCTGTCGTGCTCGCTCTGTCTGTTACGGTATTTAGCAGGAGTACGCCAAAACTAACGAATGAATCGCCATGACATTTGAGGAATATGTAATCAAATCTGTCAGGTAAAAGTGTCAAAAGACAAGGTCAATGTCACTGAAAAAATGTTCTGAAACCTACTCTTTGAGAGCATAACAAAATACTGTAATAGAATCGCCTAAAAACGCCCTGCGATTACTATTCAGTATCTACGATTCATACAATCGTAGATACGTGGAAACACTTTCAAAATAGGGAGACATATCATATCATATCATAACCACCACCCCCACCCCCACCCAACTTTTCACCAATATTCTATTAAAACCACATTCTTTAAAAACAAGTGGAAAGAAAAACAACAATTACGAATGACTGTCATGAATTTTGTCTGTTTTTTTTTTCCTCTGTTCCAGCGGCGTAAAAACGCAATTGTTCATACATTCCATGACCACCTCAGAAACCACTCCATCGATTTTATGTGCAACAGTTACCAGAGACTAAATGTATTACGAAAACACTTGGAAGCGTGTAATCCTATTAGGCCAACATTTTTTCAAACTCAAAAGTGCACAATTTCTACTATAAACGATTTATTCCTTTTGTATTATTAAAACCCGCCGTATATACTAGTATTTAATATTATCTGCATACATACATTCCTGTTTTTCCTAATTTCAAAAAAATATAGGAAGTCAATTGAATTTTATATAGCCGTTATTAAACAATAATTATACAGCCTTTGACACGGATTAGGTCAATATCACTGTTCCCTGGTCTATCTATTTCGGCTTATATAAGTAGTGAACTCCGATTTCATTGACGTAATCTCGTCATGACGTCATGATAATGAAAAATTAGGTAAATAACTTTTATGATTTTGAAATAAATAAAAATGCTAACCAGTGTTTTGTGTGATTTCTATCTCCCTAGTCCTGTTTGATCGTAAGTTAGACGGTAGTATTTCCACTCACAGTGTAGCAATACCGTACTTACACAAAAGTGAAATTCAAAAAGGGAGAAAGAATAAACCTTTTGATATACAGCCTTTGGCACGGATAAAGGTCTATCTATTTCGGCATTATTTAAGTAGTGAACTCCGATTTCATTGATGTAATCTCGCAATGACGTCATGATAATGAAAAATTAGGTAAATTACTTTTATGATTGTGAAATAAAAATGCTAACCAATGCTTTGTGTGATTTCTATCTTCATAGTCCTGTTTGATCGTAAGTTAGACGGTAGTATTTCCACTCACAATAGTGTAGCAATACCGTACTTGCACAAAAGTGAAATTAAAAAAAAAAGGAGAAAGGGAAAACCTCTTGATTGATTTTAGAAGTACATGCAAAGGACTATTGGAATGACTGTTTTAAGTTTATCCATGAAGGAACATGATTTATCTTTTTTTTTATGGTTCGAATACGTCACAAGCAATCAATACGTTAGATTATAAATCATTATTTTTATAAATGTTTTTTGCACGAAATATATAAGCGGACAAGATTATGATTACCAGAATAAATTGAAAAACTTGTTACGACGAGTATTTCAGTGGCAAATTCAAGGAGACCTTGCTGGCCCAACCTCCCTAATATTATCAAAATTTGGCGCCATTTCCGGCCAACTAGAGGCGCAATACTAATATCATAAATTTTCTAACCTCAGTCCCAACTATGGTGGGGCTGAAATGGTCTACACACCATCTGTAAAAGTCCCTCCCTGAGCCCCCTCTATTTCGAATACCTGGATCCGCTACTGTATTTTGCAAAAGTAGTGTTGAAATCAATTTTAATTGCATTCCACAAAATTAATTAGATACGAATTATAAAAGGCTATAAATCTTCCTGAGCAAAGTGGGCGTGGTCGAGCATCGCTTAAAATGTTTCGAAAGTGGGAATGGGGAAGGGTGAGGCGAAGCCCCAGAAAATGTTGACATTTATTTTAATAAATTTTAGAGACTATACTCATATTTACAAAATACTTGTGGGAGGGAGGGGGCTGGCCCCGCCCCCTGGCGCGGCCCCTGCCTTGTTTGGCAATTCGTTCCCTCACCCTTACTTTTCACAACGGATCGACGCCCTTGCACAATCAGTAAGGAAATTGGGGGTGGGGAGGGAAAGATATAATACAACAATGTAACTGGGTCACAGGTTACGAAATAATGTAGCTGCTAGCCATTTTCTAAAACATACCTCCCCATTATATTTAATATGAAATAGGCTTTTGCCTATATTCTATACTCTATTATTAGTCCTATTATCGCGTTACGGTAATATGAGACGCAGATGTGTCGCCAGGATACAATAATTAGACCAATTTAGCAAATAATGAAGCGTTGCAAGTATGCGTTAATTCCCTGGTTTCTTGATTTAGTATAAAAGTAGAAATTAAAAAATATGAGCAATAATATAGTCCAGCAAACTTTAACATTTCAAACAAAAACTTCTGTGTAGATAAGTTGCTTTACAATTAGACTTTTTGTATACTTGCCACAAGTTTCTAATTATAGGTTTTCCTAGTATTAGTTAATTTTGGAGAGCGCCACCAGCGTCGGTATATATCGAGAAACTTTTATGAATCCAAGAATCCAAGAAAAAGTATACTATGAAACGCCAAGCAAATAGGTAATATGGAACGCCATTGGTGCCAAAATCGATTTTCCCAGCTATTTTACTGATTAAGACAAATGTTATGGACTGGAACCCAGTCTAGATTTTTGAGGTCCCAGACTGGCGCAAAGGATTATAAAGCAACATTGAAATAAACTAGAAACTATATTCAATATAGAACATGAACTCAGTCAGATCATTCCTGGTAAATTTGAGCTCAACTGAAGAAAAAATCTTTCCAATGGTTAAATTGTTCCTTAATTTATTGTATTTTAAGGTGTTTTACACTAACATCCTAATTTTCTCGCTTCCTTCTGGAGGTGTCGTTGTCGTTTTCGTTTAGTCTACCTCTAAAACGCTCCAAGATTTCACTCACTACCGGTACCAAATGTGGTTTTCCTCGCAAAGCCGATGCTCACGTGATTGTGAGTTTCCTACCTATCAGGTCCAATGCGGCCTCTGAGGCGATAACACAAGCCTGCGATGGTGGACCTTTCCTGTCATTCGACGCTATTTCTACCCGTCCTGTTTTACTCCTTCAATTTTGGAGTCCTTTGGAGGTCGATCTTTACCCACCAGAACCAGAATCAGAATTGGATAATTTTGAAAAATGTACATTTGAATTCTGACATTTAGTGTCTAAATGTTTGAAAATAATTTTCTATGAATTCAACATAAATGTTTTGGAGCTTTGCTGTCATTAGTTATCATACTACAAACAAGCTTGTACAATAGGGACACACAGACACACTATATAATTTATAATTATTATATATTAATCGTTGAAACAAAAAATTATGACAACAAGGCATGTAGATAATTGAACACTGTATTTATTTTCGAAAGCTGATGAAGACCAGTGGACTGGCCGAAAATTTCTTTCGAAAATAAATGGTGTTCAATAGTCTACATGCCTTGTTGTTGTTTTATGTTATATAAATATAAAATTGATATATATAAGAATTAAAATGACAAAGTTAAATTTACATGTTGTAATTGCCTATTAAGGGACTTCCCTTAGATGTTCGTTCGGGCGTGTCATACAAATTCACTTGCGGAAGCTTTAACGCTTCTTATATCGGCGAAACTGGTCGCCATGTTAAAACACGCCTTAACGAACATTTAAAATGGACAAAAATTCACATATCTTTAAACATTTACATAGTTCCCAAAAATGTAAGGATGCTTGTAATGAGGGCTGCTTCAAAATAATATGTTCTGCTGATACCCCTTACCAACGGAAAATCAAAGAAGCATTGCATATACAGTTGGAACAGCCCTCCCTTAATAGGCAATTACAACATGTAAATTTACCTTTGTCATTTTGATTCTTCTGAGCGCATCTTCATTCATGCGTTTTTTCTGACACTGTTCAATTCCTTAAACTTGAATGCTTCGCCTAGCATTTGGTCTTATTTACCTCTTCATCTTTATTCATGCCTTTTCATACACCTCAGATCGCCTACTTACCATGAAATTTCGCTGCATTTGTTCAATCTTATAAATACAAGTGCTCCAAGTGCTTATAAGTATTTTTACACCGAAGATGGCAGTTGAGCTGCTGAAACATGTTTGTACCATGAATTGTTATAATAAAACAGTTTAGGCTCAGCCTAAATGGTATCTTTGTAAGTTGTTGTGATTTTATTGATATATATATATATATATCTGCTGCCGGGTTTGTCCCTTAAACTGCGGGAGAACGGTTACACCTTGCTTATTGTTAACCACTTTACTTGTTTTCAGATTTACTGTTCACAGCTTCTACATAGCCGACATAATAGCTAATCCTCTATTATGGGAAGACAATTAGTCATGATCTATGGACATTCCTAGCTCTCTACTTCAATCAAGCACTATTCACACCTTCTTTGTTTTAAAGGGAAAAAACAATAGATCACCGACGATCACCAACTCTATTTAAGACCAACATAAGTCATCTTTTATCATTCTCCTGATGACGGTCAGAGCAATCTTACCGAAACAACCAACCAGTGGTATTTACCTTTAATAAAAACCATATTCTTTTATTTTATTTACACATGGTGTACCGAAAATTTGTTATATGTTTACATTAAATCTATTATAAACAATCAGGACGACTTCAATAGAGTGTACTATGGAGATATACTATGGAGAACAATAGGTCTACCAACCGTAAATTATGCATGCTTTGTATGGTTCTGTGCCGGAAAATCGGCCACTACCAAACTAGAAAATCTCCAATGGCTCGAACTATTTTATGTGCACCACGAAATGTAGCTAAAGACGCCTTGTATGGAGATCTAGGCTGGCAATCAATCGAATCAGTTCAAAACAATTTAATAATACAATTTTTTAACAGACTTAAAAACATGGATGAAAAAAAAAATGGTCAAGAATTTTATTCAAAGCAATTAATCATGTTGAACAGTCATTAAAATGGAAATGGCTAGATACAATAAAAGGTATATTAAATAAATATGGTCACTCCAGAATGTACAATACCGAACCTCAAAATGCCTGGATAAAAGAATTTAAAAAGATTAATAAAGAGACTGATGCTAAAACATGGTTTGAAAATTGTAAATGAAAAAGTTCACTAACAGAGTATATTATATACAAAGACAGACCTATATTTGAACCCTATCTACTAGACAAAATTAATTTCAAAGGAATTACATTAAAATTCAAAACACGAACTCTAAACCCAGAGGGTAAAAAGCAGACATGGTCAACACAAAACAATGGTTTTTGTAAATTATGCTCCCGAAATTTAAAAGAAACAACCGACCATTTTTTTATTTATTTGTGATAAAATCCAGCCATTTAGAGAAAAGGTTTATAATGATTTAAAAAATGATCTTGTTAAATGGGGATTAGATGAATTTTGGAAATCATTTATTACTGGATCGTTGGACTATAAGCATAATTTATTTCTCGATAATCTTAATAACCAAATTGGTAACCATAAATTAGCAGAAATATTTGATAATTATTGTAAGGTATTTCTCGAAGGCGCATGGAAATTAAGATCTGAAATATATAAATCCATGGCCACATTACCACCTGTTACACTTTAATTAGTTTTTGTATTTCCTTTTAATCTGTTAATATGAACCTTTATGATCAGTTAGTTCTAAACTCTATATTTTGTTATAAATATCTTGTAATGTTAGTTAGTTAACTTGCAATTCATACAGCAACTCTGTAAATAATACGGTCCTGTAAGACTACCGGTACCATACCACATAGACCTACATGCCATGTTGATAAATTTTACTTTGTATATACATTTTAGTTTAATTTACTCCTAGTTATGTTTATTATTTTTCTCTTATATTTGGATGCCGCGTTGGGTATTGTCCAACGTGTGCCACTGTTACGAAAGTAATATCCATTAAATTGAAAAAAAAAAAGAATTATAATTTCTTCATAATCAAACGAAGCGAAGTTACTTACATTGTCGTTTTCCATTGTAATGATTCAAATTTAGAATTTAACAACAGTAAGAATAAGTTCGTATTAATACCTTGCTGTCGCTGCAGAGATGTGTACGGTTTTGCCACTAATGCTTCCTGGTGGCGAAAGTTTTGCACTAAAGTTCCGATGGTGCTCATTTTAATTACAATGAACACAAACACAATTCTACGAAAGCTCATAGGTGCCAATATAAGTAAATATGTTAACTTCAGATAGTAATTTAAAATTTCTGATACCTAGGAAAAATACCTAATAGGAAAATTTCTGATTACTAATTTTATATTTCGAATTACTAATCCGAAATTTCGGATTATTTATATGACGTTGATATACTTATATGGCACCGATGGACTTTCATACATTTTTATCAATAAGATAAAATTAAATAGTTATGCCTGATTTTTAACGAGCATTGAACATAAAACCATGTGTGTGTGAATGAAGTTGGTTTCTTCCGTTGGCGTTCCCTTATTCAAAAATTAAAGGGACATTTTTATGCGGCCCTATATACTACTGCGTGGTATTATTTTGTCATTTTCCATTTGTACTGGTGACCCCTGATTTCATCAGCCATTCTCGCCATGATTCTGTGATTTACCGGATTTATTCGAATAAACTCCCCTCGAATAAAATCCCCCTTTTAGAACCTCATCTGGAATAAGCGCCCATAGGCATTTGTTTTCCCTCAAATAAACGCCCCCTAAATGACTGTAAACAAATCTAATTGAAGCATCGACATTCTAAACAAATTAATGTTCTACTTCAGTAGAATTACATTTATCTAACCTGGTTAGGATCAATCAGTCTCTATGATAGCGCAATAAAACCTTTGATGGTAATTATGTGTTGTAGTTCCACATTTACAGTGGAATTAAGGGGCGTTTAGTTGAGTATGTATCTATTTTACAGAGACAAAAAAAAAATAGACGCCTCCCTCGAATATACGCATCCCTCGAATAAACGCCCCTTCAAAAACCGTTGTAAGATTACACAGTTTAGATGTTTTAAACGCTGAAGTATCCCCATTAAGTATCAAACTAATGTTTTGTTCAGGAAGTTTACATACCATTATCTGACCATGTTCTTCTGTTTATATGGAAATCTCGGTTAACCATCAAATATAATCATACAGGTGAATTCAAGAGGGGGTCCAGCCGGCAAAGTCCTCTAAATTATTAAAAATAATAAGACATACAAGTAAAAACACCACAAGGCACCTTATAAACTAAGTAATAGACTTTAATCGTGATCGCGCACTCATTAAGCCCGATCGTATAGCAAACATGTTTCGATAAAACGATTCTCATCATCAGTGCGAATGATAACAAATTTTGCCAAAGCTTATATGGCTTTATACACATGTATGTAAACAAGCAAATTAGAAAAGCGACTAAGGCTATGTTCTCACACGGCAGCTAAAGGTTAGCAGGATCCGGATCCTGCTAACCGTTAGCTGCCGTGCGTCCATGAGAGAAAAACAATATGATGATCGAATCAATGGCCAATAAGAAACTGGAAATTGTAAAAGCGTACGTGTGATTGGTTGATGATAGAAATGTCCTCAACTTGCTAATCGATAGCGCTTGCTCTGTTAGCGTATCCGGATACCGCTAACGGTAAGCGCTAACCGATCGGGCGTTCTCACGCAGGTGCTAACGGTTAGCGCTAACGGTTAACTCCCGATCCGGATACTAGGGCTCTCGTGAGAACCAGGCATAATGAAGCAAACCACAAAACGTAGACACCACCCGTCACTGTGGATTGTTATGTAAATTAGTACATAAGAATCAAACAGCGAGCGTGATATTCAAGTTGTAAATTTGCTTATTAAGGGATGGATTGTTCCAGGTAATATGCAACTTCCTTAATTTTGAGTTTATAAGCTGAATCTGCAGAGTCAAGAACGGTGAAAAATCTCTCATTAGCAAGATCCCGACAGCATTCTGAAGCCTACAGATGTTGAAAAATATGAGAATTCCCGTCCCTGAAGTGTTCTTGCACTCGTGTTGAAAGTCTTCTATTGGTGTCTCCAATATACGTGGAATTACATAAGCTTTGCATATTACCTGGAATAATCCATCCCTTAATAAGCAAATTTACAACTTGAATATCACGCTCACTGTTTGATTCTTATGTACTATCCACAGTGACGGGTGGTATATGTATTATACATTGATGTTTACAACGAATTAAAGGTAAATAGGCCTATAGAAACAAGATAACAATGGCCCTTTCCGCTAGTGTCTCGAGGATTGTAATTTAATTTAACTCGCTTCTTTATGTTGAACAATAAGTCTCCAGAATAAGGCGTTGTCTTGGTTTTCTTATATCGATCGTGATATACGCGTATGCCTGTCGTTTATTGTATGTAGAATTATAATTATATGGTATCTAGTAATACGAAGGGTACGATGTTGAAAGCACAGTGGCATATAAAATTATATAAACGATAATGAACACGATACCACACACCAAACCAGCGATTGACCAGTTTTTCGCGGAGCTAGCAGCGGACAAGGTACCAGCATCATCTCCACGATCAAACCTACTTGAACTCTACCAAAAAAAAAAAAAAATTAAATTTTACCAAAAAAAAAAAAAAAAAAAATATCGATTAAAATAAATGTATATATTAGTATTCAAAAGAGTAAGTGTAAAAACGTATTGCTAATTTGTAAATATTCGTGAAAATGTTTGTAAATATTGAATTTAAGTGGGCGCGAAGGTGAAGTTGGGGCGGGATCGATTATATGTGAGAGCACTAGCTCCGAAAAAGGAGATTTTTGGTGATTTTTAACTACCGTACGGTACTTGATCGTGATTTTGGTGGGGACTGGGGAGGTGTGAGTATTTTTGGGGGAAGAGTGCGCCCCCAGTCCCCACGCCACTCTACTGAATAGATTGGAATAATGTAATCGGACAAAAGAAATCAGGAAATTTGGCGAGATGACTGAGATCTGTAATAATACCAAGTCAGTCATTTTATTGGTGGCATCATTAGTGCAATATCAGCCCATGTGTACAACTGGTGACCCAAATCGTACATTTTTTAACGGCGGCTCATAAAATACAAATTCAAATATTATTTTTGGATAAACATAAATATGTCACCTAATTAATGTCACTATATTAATATTAAGCACAATTGGATAATACTTAAATTTTTAAAAATCAAATACTGAACAAATTATAATGTTTTTTTCAGGAAAGTTATACCTCTGCTTTCATATTTTACTGTTTAATTATAAAAATATCCGCTTGTGCTGCCATTGTGAATAAACATAGGCCTATGTTTTTTATTATTTTTTTTTTGAAAATTGTTATGATTTTAATAGTTATACGATCGCAATTCCGTTATTATATTTTTTAATATGAGAATAGGTGAGAAAATCAAGAAAAAAGGTAAATTATCAAAACTTTGTACATTAGGTCTAGTATTGCAGTATAACCAGCTATTGTAATGTAATTGAATCATTGGTGAATAAAATTGGCGGTTGTTTTAACCACAAAAGAGAAAAAAATAATGTGGAATAACTTACATCAACACTGTAAACAATTCCGACAATTCCAAATGGCAAACAGCAGCAGAGTGTTACAAAGATAGCCATTCCCAGAAAGTTGTTTGTTTTCGTTCTCACTACAGTCACATTCGTAACAGGTTGCATATTGTAGGAACTGTAGGCAGCTGGTTGACCGTAAGCTGGAGGTGCTGTCTAATAGAAATGTGCATCATTCATTTATTTATGTATTTATTTTTCTTTTTTAATATATATTTATTCATTTATTCATTCATTTATTCTTTGGTGCTCGAGTGCCTTCTCAACATGTTAGATTTTAGTGGTATATAATATCAAGGATTGGCTGATTGATTAATTAATTTATTATCCATTCATTCTTTCAATTTATTTATGTTTAGATTTGTTTTCTTGATTTGTTTCCTTTTATTAATTATAGGCCTACTATACATTATAGATGGGTAAATCTAACGAACAGATATTATAATTATCATATATATAAATATCGCTTTAGTTATTATCAATATTTACGTATATATTTTATATAATTATTACTAATTAATAAAGAAAACAAAAACTTACTAGATTAGCATTGGTTTGTAGAGCATCTAAAAAAATACGGAAAAAATGATTAATAAAGCCTACCATTGGTTAATGTGTGTGTGTGTGTGTGTGTGTGTGTGCCTCAATGGCCTAGTTGGTTAGGTAGGCGTCTGCATAAACAGCAGAAGGTCCCGCGTTGGAATCCTGGTTGGGGCACATGTATATTTGTATAGCATTACCGCAAAACGGTTTAAAGTTTATTCCTATT